AAATTTGTATATCAATTCATTCGATTTTAGGTGATTTGGGTAATGTTTAAAATATGTTTCTTTTGATTGATTTCACTTAATAAACATCCAAACTCTAAAATATGTTTACAAATACACAATTTCTAATTTATTAGGCCTCATTTTATGGTAACGAAATTATTATGATTTCCATGATTATTAGTTAGTTATTAATTTTGATTTTTAAAAATATTTGAAAGCATATTTATTTCCTTTGAAAATATATTTTGCTGTCTTCAAGATATTTGAATTTTTTAATATATAATAAAATAATGCTTAAACTTAAAAAAAAATTATTGAGTCTAAATATTTCTAATATTTTAAACTTTACATGTATTTTAAATATTTATAATATTTTAAAATCTTTTAAAGGTGTAAATATTAATAATACCTAAACTTCTATAGAATTTAGATATTTATAGTATTTTAATCTTTCCTTGGACCTTATATATTTTAAACGTTTATTTACCTAAATTAAACTATTTTCATATGTACAATTTTAAATACTATAATATCAATTTAGTAAAATTAATATTTTGAATATATTTTTTTAAATTAAGTAAAATATAATAAAAAAATCTAAAATATGTTTACAAATATAATTTCGAATTTAATAGGCCACAATTTATGGTAACGGATTTATTATGATTTTCATGAATATTAGTTAGTTATTAGTTTTGATTTTTTTTTTTGAAAGCACATTTATTTCCTTTGAAATATATTTTGCTGTCTTCAAGAGATTTGAAACTTTTAATATACAATATAATAATGCTTAAAATTTAAAAACTTTAATTGAGTTTAAATATTTCCAATCTCTTAAACTTTACATGTAGTTTAAATATTTATAATATTCTAAAACCTTTTAAAGGAGTAAACATAATAATACCTAAACTTCTATAGAATTTAGATAATTATAATATTTTAATATTTCCTTGGACCTAATTTATTTTAAACGTTTATTTACCTGATTTAAACTGTTTACATATACACAATTTAAAATACTATAAATATCAGTTTATTTTAAACATTTTAAGAAATAAAATATTAAAATATTTTGAAATATATTAGTTTAAATTAGGTAAAATAAACGTTTAAAGCATTATATAATCTTAAAAATTTCGAATTTAATAGGTCACATTTTTGTAAACAAAATTATTATGATTTCCATGAATATTGGTTAGTTATTAGTTTTGATTTTTGATTTATTTTAAAGCATATTATTTTCATTTGAAAATCTGTTATTAATTATGTTTGGCTATAGGTTTAGATCACATTTTATTTCATTATTTTGATTTAATCTTGTTTGGCAACACTTACAAAAAATGCTTCCCTTTTAATAGTATAGATTAAGAGAATGGAAAGGTTTTTTATTTTATTTTATTAAGATTATTATAAAGAAAGTAGATTTGACCATAATAAGATTTATAGAAAACTAGGAACAAACATTTGAAAATAAGACTGAGATGACTTGGACACTTTTTATTGTCTAGTGTGAACACCTTGATTTCTCTTTGCTTGGTGAAGTACATAGAGTTCTTTTGACATCTGTAAAACTCAGTAGCTGAAACCAAGAAAAAGTATTGGTTGCCATAACAAATGCATCGTCTCCCCAGGACTTAACTTCAACTACTTTTCCTACCTCCTCATCAAACTTATAAACCTTAAAACCGACTGTTTGTCACCAAGTGGACGTCCGTAGCAATAGTTTTTTAAGTTTGGAACTATGCCTGTTAAATCCAATGTGTAAGTTAGCCCTTCGTGTAGTACTATAACATAAAAAAACCGATAAGCTATTTTTTTATTTTCCAGTACTTAAGAACACTTAAGATTATTATAAAGACCTTGGGAGATTATTATTATAAAGACCTTGGAACACTTTCCAGTATTTATTATGGTTTCAAAGTTTGCAAGATGGATGAAGAATCATGAAAATGGATTGAGGTTAAGACCTTGGGAGACAAGGCAACAAGGCGTTTTTTAAATGCTAGTAATACTTGTTTCTCGGTTTTGGCTCATGAGTGTTATAGATCCCTCAAAAACTCTATTTACTTCACCGAGAAATACAAGGACGAAGGTGTTCAAGTTATACAATGGTAAAGGAAGTAGTATTACAGCGCAGTCATCGAAGAGTTCTTTCCCAATGTAATTTTTTCCTAGCTTTCTCTGAATCTTGTTTAGGTGGGGTCAAAGCTACTTTCTTTATAATTTAGAGTACCAATCATTTGTAATAACAAGATAACACTATTCATCTTTATAGAAAAATCAATGCATATGCTATATTGTAAGAACAACTAAAATATGTTTATTCAAATATGCTATATTGTAAGAACAACTAAAAATAAATAAAAAATTATTCAAAAAAAAAAATAACAACTAAAATATGTTTATTCTTTCGGTGTCATCTCGAAGCAATAGTTTATGGCATCAGAAGATTGAGGAGCACATTATTGCATAACCAAACATACTTGCAGATTAATGATCTCCAGCTTTCAACATACCAGAGATTTATATGGAACTAATTAAAGAGTTGTATGGACCAATATCTAAATAGATTCCAGTTGTATAACATTCTTAAGAGAAACAGTTATGACTTCTGAGGATATAGGATGTTGTGCCATTAACTTGGAAGAGTTTGCTATTCATATATTATGTAAGGCAAATCTATCATGAAATATGGCCTATTCTAAAAAATTTGTCTCTCTTTTAGCTACTGAAGTAGTAATGTTTTATTAATATTATTATTATTTTATTTTTTTGCACCGAAGTAGTAATATTTAGAGATAGAAAAATAACACTCAATTACATATATACAAATTAAAGAAACAATGTTAAGGAGTAAGATTTTGGTATATTTCTAACTTTCTACCCTCTTTGTCTCTGATCTACTCTGAATCATGGTGGTCATATAAAGATATTGGAGAGATATTTAATTTATTAAGGAGACATTTTAGGAAATTTTGTTAAATGTAATAAATGATTTTTGTGTAATTTAATTACAAATTTTATCTTAAAAGTTTGTTATTTATTTAAATTGCAAGGATTGATTATGCAAATAATACAAAATAAAAGGTTATTTTCCAAAAGGTACTTCAAAAATTTAATATAGATATATAAAAGTGAAGTATAAACTGTGTCGATGCATAAAAGCTTTAAATAAACCAAAGTAAACATTATTCAGTAACATCCCAAATAAAATTGAAAATAATTTTAAAAAAATTCAAGACCATGAGAGGAGGAAACTCAAGCTTCTACCCAGCTATAATCAAAATATGGCAAAGAACGATATTAAAAAGTATATGCGGCAAACGTATATATCTTAAGGATATTACAGTATATATTGTATACTCTCTCCGTTTCTAATAAATTGATGTTTTGGAATTTTTTTTTGTTTCAAATAGATTGATTTTGTAGATTAAAAATTAAAATGATTACTTTACTTTTTACTTTTCTCCACATGGCATGTTGTTAATGGTTTATATTTTCTCTTTCTACCTACAAACAATTATAAATTAATTAATAAATAAAAACTTTACTTTTTCTTAATAAGTTTGAAAATCTTAAAAACATCAAACTTTTAGAAACAGAGGGAGTATATCCTAAAGATATTAAAGTATATATTATATGTTCGGTTATATATTAAAGTATATTATACGTTCGGTTATATATTATACGTTCGGTTATATATTAAAGTATCTATTGGATATCGGTTCGGATCGGGTTTAAACCGATATCCAAAAATAATGAAAGCTAACAACCGATCGGTTATTTTCCCAAATATTAGTTCGGTTTTAATCCAATTTTTCGGTTCGGATTCGGTTTGGATTTTTGGATTCGGATTTTATGCCCAGGCCTAGCAACAAGAGTACTTCAATTTATATATGTGTGTATTTGAGTGTTATTTTCATTGTATATTTTGTTACCTTGCTTGCAACAAGACTGAAAAAATAAGACAGCATAAAATGTGTATGAACGAACTTGAAAATGTGTATAATTAACATCAAGCTACCTCAAAACTAAAAAATTTCCGAGTCATCCCAATTGCCTCATCCCCTCGTAAAAACGTTAAGCCACAAATCTCTAATAAAACAGATTTTCAATATTAAAATCCACAAATTTTTTGATTCCTAGCTCCTTTCCATCTCCTATGGTTTCCAGAATCAAAAATATTTATTCCGATTTCATTCTTCATATTGATTTGAATTTGATGACTCTTGTCTATTTACGTTTACATACAATATTCTCCACAAATAATGCTAAAAAGAAATGATCTGTAACATAGAAATTTGGTCTCCACGTCGTCAGACTTAGTTTTTTTTTCTTTTTTTTTCATTTAAAGTTATTAACAATTACTTATGAGAATTGTTACAAAGATGATTCAGGACAATTCCTTCATACCCTATTAGATTTTAGACGAAAGAAAATGTCTGTTTTCTGTGATTTCGTACGATTCTTTTTGTAGAAAAACACTATCTTGGACAATATCTTATCCTTCAATTAATACTCTAGAATCACGGAAAATGGCTCTAACTGCGCATCATTAGAAATTTTCTGTAAACTTGTATATATTAATATCTAAATTATTAATAAATCGCATATCTGAGGCTTGAATCCCAGATAATCGCGTTATCAGTTTTTTTGTTTGTTTGTTTCAAAGATGAAATTGATCTAACAACTTATATTTCTTTCATTTACCGGTACATTATCAATCGGAAAATGATGGACTGAATACCATTTTTGAATTAGTTGAAGTAGAATTTCATAGATTTATTACCATATTTAAGAATTCACATCCAATAATGGTGGATTTTAACGTCTTACCAAATTAATTTGAGTCAACAGTTGACTAGAATTAATAAACAAAATTTGGGTAACATTTCATCAACCTCGCCAAACAGTTACCACTTTTGCCATTCAAAAACTATGTATATTAGTAACTAAGCAATATTCACTTTCAAACATTTAAATCGTACATCAAAGACTAAATGGCTTTTCCTTGCGTCAAAAGAAACGTAATTTCATTTCTTCCTCTTCTTGTTCTTTTATCAATCACTCCTTTGTCTTCATCTTTTTCTCCGATTGCCAAAGTCACAAAAGAACTACTTAACAAACTCTGCTCAGTACCGCCATTATACAGCCACTTCTGCATCCGTTGGCTTAGCTCTGACCCAACAACGTTCACCCTCGACTTGAACGGTCTTCTCGGTTTGGTCGTTCAAAAGATGCAAATGGTTGGCTATAAGAACCTAGCAGCAATGAAAGAATTGGCAAAAACCAATACCGATCCGAAGCTCAACACGCCATATTGGCATTGCGTAGTACATTATGAGACAGCCATTTACTGGATTGATATAGGGTTTCTTAGCACTAGGGACTACCTAGCAACATCTCAGGCGGCTGTGAAAGCCTTTGTTAGTATATCTTTGTGTGAATATAACCTTCAAGGACATGAGAATGTGCCGTCTGATCTTACACGACGCAATTTGACTTTTAAAAGAATGTGTAACATTGGTAGAGTTTTCTCTGACCTTTTCAGCTATCGTCCTCCACCTGTATGAAGGCAAGAACAAATAAATTAATAAATTGCTAGTTAAATTATTGTGTCTTGCATCTTCGCTATTATTAGTTCTACTGTTCAATCAATCGTAAACGTGTACACATATGTATCATCACGCATAGCAAGGGAACAACTTAACCATCTAGGCATTAACCATGATCAGTCTTGAAAAATATGTAGCCTAAAGCATATTTTATAATTATATATGGTTTTATATTATAAAATATATGACAGATTTTAAACATCTATAGAACCCCCAAATTGAAACTCGAGTTTTAGAGTTATGAGAATTGAGTTTCAGTTTGGAAGGTTTTAGAATTATGTTAGAAACGAAGTCATTTTGTTATTGACGGAATCTCGTTAACGGCTAATTGACCCCGTGGGTTTTTTCTGTTTTGTAATACGATCAAGTCAACAAGACTTTATGATTTAATTAGAAGTCAAAAAAATATAGAGAATTTTATCTATTAGAAGAAAAGTTCATGCTTTCAACAAAAATGTTGACTCTAGATTTAAATAATATTTTTCCCTTTTAAAATTATATATTTTTATAGTCAAAAGTTCAATTAGTTCGAATACTGGTTTACGTTTTTGTTACTAATTTTTTTAAGTTTAAAATTACAAGATAGTAATAACCCACGCCGTACAACATAGGGAAATTTTGATTCATTAGTTAAAAAATATAGTAGTAGAAGTTTTATTTGATTTACTCTATATATTTAAATTACTTAGTTTCATACTCCGAGTTCGACCCATAGTCGGTACACGTATTTTGGTTTGGGTACTATATCAAAATTCATTAATTATATGGATTAGTAAAATCTAAAAAAAAACACCAATAAGACTTGTATGACGATCATGAAAACAGTACACGAATCGAAACAATCGTGTTCACCATGGAGTCGGTTGGGATAGATAAACTACTGGGATGGAAATGTTTTGAGGAAATTCGACCAAATGGTTACTCATTACTTCAACGACATTATAGTTCACAAAGGGCTAACTTGCCTTTTGGATTCACAAGGGATTGTTTGGTGGATTAGTTCTGATCTTGAAATCTCTAGGTACGGAACTACTTTAGTAGATCATACAATCACTAATGGCTGTTGGGGAGACATATAGATTTGTGGATAGTTGTAGAGGGCTTTATGTTGTCGAGCGCTTGCCGAAAGAGAAATCCCAAAAGTGAACTTAACACTTCCAGGATGGTCGGTTTCAAAGTATACAAGATGGATGAGGAATTTGGAAAAATTGATTGGGGTTAAGACCTTGGGAGACAAGGTGTTGTTGATGGTAGTTGATAGACTCATGGATGTTATCTACGCTCCAAGGACCACTTTGTTGGTTTTGAATTTGAAGTGGCAAAATTGATAGTGAACGATGGATTGAAGTCGAACAAAAACAGCGGAATAACGATGAACGGGGATGATAACATTGTACCTGAAAAAATCAAAAATTTAATAATTAAACAGTCCAAAAACAGACAAAACTAAACGGATCTGGAAAAATATCAAAGCGACTCCAAAAATTCCTAAATCAATTTTAACAAATACTAGACTCTTAACTGGTTGAAACTCAATTTGTTTCACAATTTTTGAACTAGCCAATTATGTTTTAAAATTCACGCTAGATTGAACAGAAATATGTAAAATTTCGGGTAGGAACTTCAAAACCTGTTTACAAAGTGGCTCTAATACCACATGATAGACTCCTGGACGTGGATCTATGCTCCAAGTAGCACTTTGTTGGTTTTGAATTTGAAATGGCGAAATTGATGGTGAACCATGGATTGATCTCGAACAAAAACAGCAGAATGACGATGAACGGGGATGACGACGACTGGGAGTGGATGCAGCGGAATGAAAGGGGGGATGAGATGTAATTCCAAGAGTGATGAAAGACTGTTAGACTACAAGCTTGGATCCAACTTAGATATTACACAGAAAACAAATTGAAAAGATATTACACACTATTCGGATCAAACAAGTAAAAGATAGAGTTTTTGAGTAAAATGTTTGATGTTTTGCAAATGAGAGATACAGGGGGTTTATATTGAGAAGGGAGGAAGAAGGAGAGGAGGAAAGAGAAGAAAAACATGCAAGAACATGCACAAGTGTTTTGAAAATTGCACTTATGCACGTTCATGCAAAATATCTTGGAAAATACAAAAACAATAAATGCAAAGTTTGAATAGAAAAGAGAAAATGGACCAAGGCTTTGTGAGTGGGTCTTGTACCACGAATTGGGCTGATTAAAGGGCTTGAAAATGTTACTTAGGCCTCATTAAAAACCTTGTCAAGAAAATCCATTGGTACAAAACTTGACAATGGAAAAAGAGTGCATAAGCAACACTTAACCCTTTACCGAACCTCTTGAGCCGTGATCACTATGAGTGAGGATTGAACCACGTCTTATTGATTCTGGTTTAGCTCCTTTAGAAGTCCACTGATGGGTTGGTTGAACTTCTTAGATCTTGATCTCGTTATTGGACCCACCAGAACGGTCAATGCTTCCTCCGGTACAAGCTGCTCCTCGGCTTCAATCTGCTCGTCGTCGTGTGTGGTTTGGTTGGATTAGTCATGATCTCATCAGTAGTAAACTCATGAGTTTTACCGATGCCTCATAAACTCTATTTACTTCATCGAGAATACGCGGGCGAAGGTGTTCAAGCTAGGGAATTGTAATGGAGGTACTATCACAGCAAAGTCAACGAAGAGTTTTTTCCTAGCTTTCTCTGAATCTTGTTTAGATGGTCAAAGCTAGTTTCTTTATTCTGATAAAAAGCTTATTGTTCATCCTTATAGACAAAGTTATGCAAATGTTATATTGTCAGAACAACCAAAATTACATGTATAACAATGACATTGATCTCTGCTAGCTATATATACATCAAACCTTTTATCCTGGTTATTCCAAGCAAACCTACAAGTAAACAATGTAACTCTAAACCAGTTTGGTCTTGAAACGACCTAGCCCAATTTTTAACTTTTTAATTCATCAATATTAACCCTATAATTAATACTAACCGACAAATTAGACCTATAGGAAAACAACCAGAGGAAATAAAAAGAATCCAATAATCCAAAACCAACCATTAAACAAATAGTCCAACAAATAATTCAACAACCAATAATCATCCAAGACAATCCAGCAATCCTAACGTTCTTCAAAATCCATGTTTGCAAAACAATTAAATAGAACAATAACATTAAACCAAATTAAAACAGTGATAATAGGTCATCGCCATCTTCCTCGCCTTGATTCCACAATCACACATTATCTTTACCTGCATCACAAAAACAATGAGATGTGTGAGTATTATCACAAATACTTAGTAAATCGATCCTCCCATCTATTGAGTTATACACACATGCATAATAGACCAACAAAAAAGCATAAGATCAATCAAATCAACAAACGAGGAAGAAAACACGAATTATGTCCAGATATTTCACGGTAAAAAAACTGGTGTCGACCGACACCAGTCTTCAGTGTCAACTGCCACGCCAGACACTGGTCGTCAGTTTCGACCGACACTACTCCAGCAGTATACCTGAAATAGCAACTCCAGACTCATGGTTCTACCACCTCCAAGCTTGATATAAGATTGGAATCACTCCAACTTAAGATCACACAAAGATCAAAACATTCCAAGATTAACTTGCGGAAGGTAGAATTCACGGGCTGGCTATAACGCTCTCCCTCGTGAAATCAATGGATGGAACGATGGATAGAAATGATTGATTTGCTCAATCAATGGACGAACAACAGGGATGAATCATTCAACACAAGCTTCAATAGACCAAAGTGAATCATACACTTAAATCTAAAGAATCGGAAGCACAAAGTTACTCAGACTTTGTAAAGAAGAAAACGCTTTCTTATTAATATCAATGATCAATGGTGTTTTACAATGAATCACGAACTGAGCTTTTATAGGCTCAATATACAGCGGTCCTAGAGTCTAAAACAAGAAAATAAATTGCAAAATCATAAAGAATATGGCCGTTGGAGCTTTGATGACAAAATCGGCCAAAATAAGGACCGTCTCTTCTCTTGTATCTTGAAAGCTTCGGGAGGAATATGTGACTTCTTGGAACATTCTAGGATGTTTTTAGAGTCTTTAAAATGCAGAAGACTTGGTAGAATAGAGCCATTGATGTCTAAACACTTGAATGCGCCTAGAAAGTGAAAGTAGGAGTGAAAGAGGATTCGCGTAATCCTCTGGATGGTGGTGCATGTTGAGGAATCTTGGAGAGTCTCTGAATGGTATATAAGTTCTCGTGGTCTCCAAACATAAATCTCCAAGGAACCAAATAAGTAAAGTTCCATTTGCGGCAACATATGGCCCTTGGGTAAGGTCAAATGAGTAAATGCAAATCCAACTCGAACCAGGGGTGGTTTGGCTCGATCATTATGCTCCATATGGTTGATTTTTAGTGAATAATGAAGCTGAGGTCAAATGCACGAGTGGATTCTCCAAACTGCTGCTTAGCTCGCCCTTGGACATGTCCGAGGAGGCTGTCATGGCCATCTCTCAAAATACCTCTCTGATGGACTGATGTTTCTCGATCATTCCTCTTAACAGGTCCATCCACAAATGGATTTCGAATCCCAGCTTGAATGGACGTGTGGCTTGGTCGCATGGACCAATGGACCAATGGTCAAACGATGGAAACGGGTCTTCATGTGTGTCTTGCTGATGAATCTTCATTTTAGGTCGAGGAAAGTCTTCATGTGGTTGATGGAATTGACCATGGTACGGTACGGATGGGTTGTTGTGGACAAAACCGGCTGGTCTGGTTTTATCTTGGTATGGTGTGGTTTAGATTTCCGCATCAAAGCTCCATATTCAAACCCTAGACCACCAAAACACCCAACACAACAACCACAACACACAAGCAAAGCCAAACACACAACAATTCCAACCACCCATATCAATCAAACACTCATCATAAAGTCTTATGCCCAGATCAACAACGGTCACGTATTCACCTTAAT